CCGTATAAACTATGCTATAAACAAAAAATTGTAGAATTACTTACCGAGTGTGCACCGTTCGACGTCGTTATTGCTTAAGCTTGTTTTCGTCGCGGAGCAGCGCACCAAACGGCGGACGCGATTTCTGATAAGTTATTTTTCTGCGAAAACTTCGTTGAACTTTGGAGACATCATTAATATAAATAATTTTTATGGCCGTTGAATAAGAAATGTTTCTTTCACAAGAAATGTATAAAATCAGTGCTGTATTAGACTTATGGTACCTAATTTACATACTGTACAGACGATAGTAAACTCAACTTACTCGCCTAAACTCTCCGTAGCCTGGTGCTGGAAGGCGGAAAGTATATACATAATTATAATAAAGTTACAATAAATTAAATTAATATATAATTATATATACAGTACCTAATTGATATATAATTTATATATAATACTGTACAGACGATGGTAAACTCAATTTACCCGCCTAAAATCTCCATAGCGTAGCGGTGGACAGCAGAAAGTAGTTCGGCTGACTGATGACGTTTTACCAAATTATAGGAGTTTTTACCATGTTTGTACGGATACCGTTGCAATTTTTCGCCGTCATATTGGAATCCGAACTATAGGAACCCGTGTTATAGTGGGGTCGACTGTAATAGACTGAACCTTTTGAAATAGAGTAAACAAGTCATTCTCTGTTAAATTTTTTCACCATTGGGAAGATTTCTAGAATAATAATTGTCTGAAAATTTTCTTCCAGCATCATTAGCAAGACAATTGTAGTTAAACACCTGTATGGGACCACGACTAACCAAAATATTAACAAGATCATTAGTCATACTGGCAGGCCACAAATCAAAATCATTACCACATTATAAACTGCTACATATTAATGACGACAATAAATTGCTTACAGGTTCTTCAGTAGTACCTTCTCTTGTTTTAGTTTTACTGGAATCTCACCTTCTGATGAAGGACTACAACATATAAATTTTTCTTCAGATACCTCCATAGCTTCTGGATTTAACGCTATGCATGTTGACGCTACATAAATAATTTCTCGACAACCCGTTTCCTTATTTTCTGGCTTGCTTAAAAATTTCTTTAGAGAACTCACCAGCTTTTCTGCCTGTACCTCCTTTTTCTTGTTTTTCATGTCGAAATTGCACTCCTGAAAGTTTTTTTCCTTTTCTGCAGTTCTTGAAATTTTTCGTAAACTGTAAGTATTTTTTTTAAAGTTTTTAATACAATAATATGCAGACATAACCAATTAAAAAGGAGAACTATCAGGAATAAGTAGGCTTTTCTAGTTTACAAATAATAATCGACCAACTTAACCATGTAGTTGAGTCTGTAAAAAATTCATAGAAATTCCGTATAAATAAACTACAAAATTAACTTTGTATTTATAAAATACATCGAGTTTTGACTCAGATGTCTTGCAAGAATTTTGTATAGCGTGTACAGACTATGGAACCCTACCATGCGTATGGTAAGACTGATAGTGGGATGTTATATTTGCTCTATCAATCTAATAATATCAAAAGTTACTTTTGATATTATTAGATTGATTCATTTTTGCCCTGGAGATTAGTTACATGTATTTAAATCTTAATTTAAAAAGCTATACCTAGACCCCCGTTAGAAGAAGTATTAACAAAATAATTGCAAGTTAATACACGATAGAACTGTTTGAATAGGTACAGTACAAGTACAAATTGAGAAGGGAGCTCTGTGGGAATTCCCTAATTTCGTCAGTCCTGTCAACTTCTGTCATAGAACACGACTATGGGTATTTAGCTGTCAGGCGCTACTGGATGGTTCAACATGCCGACAGACGTTTCGCATTGCATCTTAGTTCTCATAAATGCTAATAAATGGCTCTGTTAACGCTATAATATAAATAAGAAAATAGTAATTGCGCGCACGTCGGATTTTTTCTCCATGCGAAGACATTTCTTATGCTACAGGTGGGATGGGTATTGTGACAATGACTGAATATTACGTGATCGATCGCTCGATTTGCCTTATCGCCCACGTGCGGTGCACACCTTGCACGCTCGCTTACGGGGGGCCTGCCTTGATGTGACAGAAAGCAGCTACTACACCATTTATTTTTGTTTTGAAGCCATCAGTATATATTATGGAGCATTTGTTAGGAGTGTGTTTGACTAATGCTTGTGCATGTGTATATGACAGGTGAGGGAGGGCTCGGAAATTAGCTGGAGAGTCTATTTCATAATGTTTTGTATTTATGATTAATCTGTTTTTATTATGATATTTGATTTCATTTTACTTTTTATAAGTATATCTATAGGAATTTTATTGGCTATTACTAACGTTGATTCTTATGAAATTGTTCTGTATCTTTTTGTGATTTTAATGCAGATTTTTTTTTTGAATTTTAATAATTTTTACAAAGATGTTTGTGATTTACCACTTGACCCCACACCTGGCAGGCGTATGTTAGTTGCGGGAGAAGAACTCCCTCGTAGATAGTGTCTAATATGTTTGAATTTAAACCCTAACGTAAGATAGCGACGCTGTGTATCATTAGCAGCATTCGCTCACTCTTTTGTATTTTTGTATCTATTTTTGTGTTCTTTCCAAGTGAGTTTTGAGTCCAGAATGCAAACCAAGTATTTAATATTTTTGATATTTTAATTGATATTTATCTTGTAGTCTTAAAATGGGTTTTTTGTGTTTGCCTGCTTTGTGTATTAGCATTAACTTAATTTTATCCGTATTAAATGTAATTTTGCACTCTTCCCCTAGTTTTCAATTTAATGAAGGATTGATTTTGCTTTGTTTTCTAACGCTTTAATATTATCAGCAACAACTGTTACAAGGAAGTCGTCAGCAAAGCAAAACAGTTGGCAATGTACTGATAGTTTGATATCAAATAGTTCATTAGGATATTCCAAAGCCTGGCCCACAGGCTTTGGAACATCCTAATGAAGTATTTCTCTGTGGGCAGGCTTTGGACGAATTAAGACTAATTAAGCTACGATTGTTTTTGTCTGTGTTGTGCTCATCCTTGGGATAAAAATAGTCTAATACTGTGTTTGCTTCATCCTCTCTAGTCATACATTTATTTCCATTTTTATCCTTTAATAATACCGTTTGTTGATTGATATTTCGTTGGTGTTTTAAAAATTTATATACTCTGCCCCATGGGTTTGGATTTCCTACATCAGTGCAGAATTCTTTTCAAGAATGTGTTTTGGATTGTTTGATTAATTTTTAGTATTCATTTCTTAACTGGATAAATGATTGTCTTAGTGTCTCTCTCTGTAATTGTTGTTTGCAGTGTTGATACTTTCGCCATGCGTTATTTAATAATCTTCTCTGTAGGGTTAATTCGCAATCCACCGGGGAACTGATTGTTTATGTTTGGAGTATGTAGGGATATTTTTACGTATGGTGTAGTTCTTGAATTATTGCTATATCTGTACTGTTTACAGTGATATATGTGAAAATCAGGATTTAGGGGGGAGTCATTTTTTTACAGAATTGGCGTTAAAAAACGCCTTAATTTCAATTAGAAAATATTTTATAACTTTGACAAATTTTTCGAATAACGGATGTCAATACTTTGGATTTACTTAGTGTTTTCCTTTGTTTCACAAGCACAATAAAGTACAGTCAATCATACACTGCGCAGATTTTTCATTTTTTATTTATTCTTTTTTAGTTGATACGCGTTTCGGGCTTAAAATGCCCCTTCTCAATCAATTATTTTTAAAATGTACAGTACATAGTTAGTGTATGTGGCGAAGAAAGAAGGTAAAGAAGAAAACTGTGGAGAAAGGCTTGGTAGTGGAATAGATAAAAATGCGATAAAGCAGAAAGAAGGAGCTTTTAAACTTTGGAGGATATCTGATAGTGAAGCTAGGACAGAGAACCGAAACAAACAACGATGGGAAAATTTTCGAGCTTCGATAAAATCTTCAGATTTAGCTTACGTGCAAAACTGCCCCATACATGTGCGTGTCTTCATTTGTTTCTGGAAAAATTATGACAACAGTTGCATGTGTGAAACGCGAATAAATTTTTTGTTTTTTGAAGACACTTTTAATAAATTTAAATGAAAAAAAAACACTGTCCAGTGAGTTTATAATTGCAATTTAAAGTCGATGGATGACATGGAAAAACACATAACTTCTATACTCACTTTTAAATTGACCAGTAAATACAGTTAACTCACAGATTATTAACAAGAAATAATGGTATTTAAAAAATAATTAGCTTTAAGAATTTCAAATATATAAATATTAAATTTCATTTAGGGGAGACCGGGGCAAGATCGACATGTTAAGATTTACTTAAATTTTGTGTAATAAATACTNCTTACATTTAGACAAAAATTCTTTTTAACTTTTCATATTTATATCGTCATTAATTAACATGAAGAAAGAAAAAATTAGTACTGTAAGATTGTAATTATATTTGTTTCTGGAACATCTACTTGAATAAAATAATGAAAATCACGCAAGTAATTATCATTAAAATGCTGACAATTATAAACGTTCTTAATGATGATATATTTGTATATACTAAATTTTGAATTATAAACAACTCGACTAACGACAATTTACATTTCAGATAGAATACATTAATAAGCACTTTATATTACAATTTTATTTTCTGTAAATCCAATAAATTTATTATCTCGTTCATGTACACACAAATTTTGCGGAAATTATACAGTGATACAGTAAAAAACAATCATATTCGAATTTAACTTTATATTCTCGTTTAGATTTCACTTTTCTCTAGGGAAACTTTTGACTTCAAAAATATAAATCAACGAAAAAGTAAATAATATTCATAAGGTTTCTGTCACCGATTAGAATTTTGTCTTCAAATTTCCTAGCATCTGTTCCTTCGTCGCTCACAAAGTAACTCAGTTCAGGTAAAAACTAGAAATATGGTTGGACGTTTCCAGCGTGTAAAAACACAGCAAATAAACGAATTGACCAATATTTTTCTAGATACAACTTCGTTTGCAGATCTGCTACTCCCTCTGAATTGCAAACGGTGTCAAACGAAATCTGCTTGTTGTCCAAATTGTTATTAATATACCCGTATACATACATTGATAAACGTTCGCCAAGCTTCACCGGAAATCGAAGAGCCGTGACGTAACAATCTTCCATAACAACTACTTCGCTGCTAAAATATATATAACCTTTCATCTCTCTGATTGAGACCAGAGAAGAATCTCCAAGATTTACGTACGAGAACAAGTTACAATAATTTATTCCGCTTCTGGTTTTTGTTTCTCGACTGATATAACTGGGATAAAAGGAATAATTAACAGTCTTAAAAGCACGCCAGATATGATTCTTTTTTACTTCGTTTAACAAGTTCATTGTAAAAACACAAGATTGCAATTCGTCTTCATTCATGGCAAGAAATCTGACTTTTCCAATAAATGGCTTCATAACATTTCTTATTTCATTTCTTTTCGATTCTTCATTCATAGAATGGAAGTTGTCTGCACCCAATTTTCTTTTAACTTCTTCTATGCTCCACTGGTACACGGCTCGGAGTAAACGCAATTCACTGACTGATTCATATATCGCTCGAGATAGCAGTCTATCAATTGTTGCAATTTTACAGCACATAAAGTCGACTGTTGTAAATAGTTTTCCTCCGTGCTGGTTGAAAGCTATCCAGCAATAATAAGTTATGACCTGGTCATCGATTTCACGTGCAAAATCACACAGATGGATTGCACAGACGGTATGCAGATTTATTTGCCGAATGATAAATGATCTGCATTTCTTTCTTAAATGGTCTAACTCGTACCTTAAACTCAGATGATACAGATCGAAAGCGTGTGTAAAAGAAGTCAATCCGGGATCGTCCGTCTGTACATAACTGTTTTAAAACTATAAATTATAATTTATGACAATGTATTGAAATTAAATGTAAGGTAAGTATTGTGAAAAACTTACGTAACGAATTGTCTGATGTTCTCGATTGGATAAGGCATAAACAGTACTTTGGAATTTTCAACNCATCAAAAATATATGATTTATAAATTGAAAATTCATTATCTGTATCTAAAATTTACATAAAAATAAACAAAAGATTTCTTATCGCTACTGTTTAATTTTTGTTTAAATTAATCAAATGTCGATATTTTGAATTATAAACAACTCGACTAATGACAATTTACATTTCAAATAAAATAATTACATTAATAAGCACTTTAAATTTAAATTTTATTTTCTGTAAATCCAATAAATTTAGTATATCGTTCATGTACACACACATTTTGCGGAAATCTTACAGTGATACAATAAGATATAATCATATTCGAATTTAACTTTACATTATATTCTTGTTTAGATTTCAGTTTTTTCCAGGGAAATTTTTTAACCTCAAAAATATAAATCAACCAGAAAGTAAATATTATTCATAAGGTTTCTGTCACAGGTTAGAAATTTGTCTTCAAATTTCCAGGCATCTGTTCCTTCGTCGCTCACAAAGTAACTCAGTTGACGTGAAAACTCGGCACCGAGTTGGACATTTTCAGCGAGGTAAAAAAAAGCAAATAAACGAATTGACCAATATCTTTTTAGATACAACTTCGTTTGCAGATTTGCTACTCCCTCTGAATTGCAAACTGTGTCTAACGAAAACTGCTTGTTGTCCAAAGAGTTAATATACCCGTTTACGCACATTCGAAAACATTCGCCAAGCTTCACCGGAAATCGAAGAGCCGTGACGTAACAATCTTCCCTCACAACTACTTCGCTGCTAAAATATATGTAATTTTCCATCTTTCTGTTTGCGACCATAAAAGGAACTCCACGATTTACGTACGAGAACAAGCTAAAATAATTTATTCGGCTTCTGATTTTTGATTCTCGACTGAAGTAACTGGGATACAAGGAATAATTTCCAGTCTTATAAGCATACCAGATATGACTCTTTTCTATTGCGCTTAACAAGTTCATTGTATAAAGACAAAATTGAAATTCGTATTCATTCATGGCAAGAAATCTGACTTTTCCAATAAACGGCTTCATAACATGTCTTATTGCATTTCTTTTCGACTCTTCATTCATCGAATGAAAGATGACTTCACCCAATATTCTTTTAACTTCTTCTGTGCTCCACTGATACACGGCTCCGAGTAAACGCAATTCACTGACAGATTCATATATCGCTCGAGATAGCAGTCTATCAATTGTTGCAATTTTACAGCACATAAAGTCGACTGTTGTAAGTAGTCTTTCTCCGAGTTGGTCGAAAGCTAGCCAGCAATAATAAGTTATGACCAGATCACCGATCTCACGTGCAAAATCGTGGATTGCGCAGACGGTATGCAGGTTTATTTGCCCAATGATAAATAATTTGCATTTGTTTCTTAAATGGTCTAACTCGTATCTTAAACTCAGACGATACAGATCGAAAGCGTGTGTAAAAGAGGTAAATCGGGGATCGTCCGTCTGTACATAACTGTTTAAAAAATATAAATTATAATTTATGACAATGTATTGAAATTAAATGTAAGGTAAGTATCGTGAAAAACTTACGTAACGAATTGTCTGATGGTCTCGATTGGAAAAGGCATAAACAGTACTTTGGAATTTTCAACATATGTAATGAGAAGTTCCAAATTCCTGTTCAGGACTTTACTTAACTCAGCTTCTGATATAACAATTTCTTCGTTTTTTTCGTTTCGGATTCGTATCCCACTCGAAGAAAGCCTAAAACAACAAAAAAGGTATTTATTATTACTTTCGAACAAACATGTCTGTTTTACTGTACTGTAGTTGTAGTATTTCCGACAAAGGTGTATGAACAATAAATGCATGACTAATACTTTAAAAATAGATATTAAATTTTTTGTATTAGCAAATCATCTTGGTTATCGCGAAACCATCAAAACCCAACTTTTATTTTTTAATATCTATCGCACCAGGAAACGCTGCATTTTTGAAAAGAAAAGACATCTCTATTCTATTAACAGGGAAGTATTTCGGGGTATGCTCTTCAGTAAACTAAGCAGGGGCATAGCCTGAAATACAATCCTGTTAACAGAATAAAGATATTCCTGCATATTTTAAAGAAGACGCTTTGTATGATAGATGAGATTATTATTTATCAATAGATGTTAATGATAATATCAAAATGAACTTTTGATAATGTAAAGATTTTTGTCTATTGTTTTTGACAGAGTTTGACGGTTTTTTGTTAAATAAATGTATCTTCGATTCTTCTTTTATCGCTCCCCGAATAGAATTAAAAAACAATTAAGAAAAACAAACAAAGATGTCTGTACAGTTTTCGTTATTAAAAATGTAAATAATACAGAATTTGTGTGGAATTGTTCTGTAATTCTCCACGAACAATAATTGATTTTTATGTAACCTATCGTATTCTGAATCTCTATGTCATATAACAGTATATATACAGTAATCTAATTAATAATGCTAGTTCCAAATTGCGAGTTTTGGAATTTTCGATTATTTTGTTATACAAGCTTGAAAGTAAAAAATCATTACGTTAACATAATATTAGTACATAATATTAGTCAATCACCATCTATTGTAATGAGTTATTAAACATGTTCCTTAAGAGGGAGAAGCTGGTGATTTTTTCTTGATTGAGAAATAATATACAAAATTCTACTTTTATAAAAGAATAAACAATTACATGTTATTTTCAGTAACAGATGATAATATCTTTAGGTTTTTTTTTCATCGACACTTATTTCTTATGTTCTAAATAAACGGACATCGTTGCCCAGTAATTAGGTAAAAATTAAATTTTGTCCTCCTGTGTGTCTGACACTCACACAATACATAATTAAAGTTTACATTACAAACTGATAAAAAAAGAAAAAGCCTTTAACTGATAAGTTATCAGTTAAAAGCCCACCGAGCGCTTCGAGTCGCATTGCTTGTGGCTATTCCATGCCGGGTGGCATCAAGTGGTATCCTTGTCGCTTACAAGGAAAAGAAGTGTGTATCCTAACACTGTCGTATATATGTATTTATTCTAAACATGATTTCTCTCGCTTTGTAGACCGATAAATACTAGACAGTTCGAATAATTGAATTTCTCTGTAATGTTATTTGGTACTTTTATGTGAAACTTGTAATCATTGAACGAATAACGTTTATAATGTTCTGCTATAACACGTATTAGATCTATTGTTTTAAAAAATTTCGATCTTAATATGAATAATTACAAACAAAGTATATTGTAAAATTATTGGCGTAGAATTAGTCTTAATCAAATCTTTGTACAAAATGTAATTAATTAGTTCATTCGTTCATCTTCCTTAAAATAAATAGCACTTTTACATTTTAGAACTCAACATCCCATCTACTAGTTGAGGAAACTGAGAGATCCGCGATTTACGTGTCGACAAACACTGAACTACCGGAATTATCTCTTGTAGAAAAGAATGAGTATTAATCATTTGTATATTGATAATTAAACAAAGCTTATTAACTCAAACTCTAAAGACCAAAAATAAATTCACCGACAAAAGAGAAATTTTAAGCTAATTAAACCCTTTGACTCCTAAAAGTGTAAGACTCTATTTCTCGAGTTCCAACATTGTAAACAGACGGTTATTTGCTCAAGGGATAAAGCTTTTTGTGAAGTTTTGCTTACTCATTGTCTCCATTAAGACAATTGAAACTTTTGTTAGTTCATATATTCTAGAAAATTTATACATAAAAATTCACTAAGAGTATGTTCATTTGAAGCGAATATATGTGATGAAATAAGTACAAATAACATACAGAAAATTAACTTTTATCATTTATCGCGTTATATTTTAAGCTCTCGATGGCAGTACATCATCGCTTTCTCTCAATTTTTTTTATAAAAGAGGCACATACGATAGTCAATTGCAAAACAGGTAAAATGATTTTGCGCCCACACATCTAGAAACGGTATAAACAGAAAACAACACAAGTACTTACCGACTCTGCACCTCTCGATTCGCCATTTCTTCGACTCGTTTCCGCACTGAACTCTCGAGTTGACGTCGAAGAACAGAGGCAACACGCTCTTAGAAGTAGAAAGAAATCATCACGGTAATTGGCTGGAGATGCCCCATGACTTTGACGTCACCGCCCCTCCGCAGGAGCACTTAATTTTTTAGTTGCATTACTCGTATATTCTGTATATCCGACATTAAAACTACCTTTATACGTGTATTTATTGTGATATCACATACACGTATCTAAGAAATTAGCATATACCTTGACCATTAGGTGCTTACGAGTAACAGTATGACGTTGAAGTCACTTTACAATCAATTTACATAATCATAATTTACATCTTGGTGCGTTAGTTTTATATTGACACGTTGTCTTATATTGTCTCGTTGGAGTANTGTGTTTATATATTTATTATTTTTCAGATTGTTGCCAAAGCCATCGTTCGATGTAGAAATCCATCAAATAGAAATGGAGAGAGGAAGATTGGGAGAATACATTACACGCTTGGAATTTCTACATCAACAGTTAGGATTAAATACTACAAACAAATAATTGTGTTGTCTTACTTTTTTTTTACTTAAATTGTAAAATGTCATTTGTAAGATAATTCTGTGCAATAAGCTAACTATTCAAATCCCACTGTGGGAGACAGGGGCCGTCAAAAGTTAGTTTACGCTACGAAATTATTACAAAAGTTGCTTCTAGCCCTTGATATAATTATATTAATTAAATTAATCCACGGTTGTGGATAATTTAATTAATATAATTAGTTTACGTTAGTTCAGGATAGGGTCCTGCCATCAGGTGTGNCAAAAGTTAGTTTACGCTACGAAATTATTACAAAAGTTGCTTCTAGCCCTTGATATAATTATATTAATTAAATTAATCCACGGTTGTGGATAATTTAATTAATATAATTAGTTTACGTTAGTTCAGGATAGGGTCCTGCCATCAGGTGTGTTTTGTCGGACACACCACCGATTCAGACAGTATTCTTATACCACAACTTTGAAAAGTTTCCTTTATTTAAATGT